TCGTTAATAAATAATCAAACATTTGAAATGCTAAAACAGCAATAAGTATAAAAAAATAACTTTTAGATCTTACACAAAAATAATTTAACTATTTCCTTTATTACTACATTAATAATTTAGATTGTAGTAAAAAATGTTTTAATTTAAGCATATTATTTAAATGTTAACAAATATTTCATTATTTAAAAAAACAAAACATTAAGTCACGAGAGTATCTTGAAATTTATTACTTATGAAAAACCTTTTAAGATTTTCGGAAGATTTATAAATATACCTTCTTTTTTTTTGTTTTTATAAATATTGACTTATAAATATACCTTTTTTTACTCTGTCAAATGATACCATTTTAAAAAATGTTTTGCAATAAATTTAAAAATATATACTAATCTACAACTACATTGGCTACGGCATAAATGTAAGAACAGATTTTATAGCAAAATAATAGGCCTAAACTACATTGGCCAAATGTTAGCCCAACGTAGTACGATAATTGCAAAAAAACGATTTGTAGAATTACAAAATTACGCCTTTGGCTAAATGTTGGCCCAATATAATACGATATTTGCTAATTGTTGGTATTGGCTAAATGTTGGCCCAATATAATACGATATTTGCAAAAAACCGATTTGCAGAATTGAAAATAATACGTCGAAAAAACATTGGCTAAATGTTGGCCCAACGGAATAAACTTGCTAATGTTAAAAATTACGTTGGGCCAATGAAAGCTTGCTGTCTGGGTATATACATAGGTAGTAATAAGGGTTATTTTAATTACATCTATTTCACATTTTTCAATTTTTTTTTCAGACTTTCTGTAATTATGCGTTTGTTCAAATCTTTTTGACAAAGAATTAATTACAATGTTTAAAACTAAAAAAAAAAAACTTTAATTTGAAAAAAACCCGATCTTGTGTTCTCCGCCAAATTATCAACACTTTCAATTAGTTTCAAAGCGCTCTGCAAATTAATAGTTTTCATCTGATATGTTTTGCTTACTTAACTAAATTTGAATAACACAGCATAACAAGTGGCAGAACAGCAAAGGAAGTTGAAATCTGAAATGTTGTTGAATTTCCATAGCGGTAATTTTTTCAAAACCATCAAATTAGAATCTAAATTGGATTCGTAAAAAGCGTCATAAATCTCATCAAGATGAAATTGCAAAGAGTCAAGGACGTCTATCGTGCTCTACCAACGGGTTTCATTTATGCGTTGATCCAAAAAAAAGTTATAATTTTTTTTGTTTAAATGATGTACATGAGTTTCTTTGGCAGTTACCTGACAAATAGGAAAAAAAAAAAACTTTATTAAGTTTTGAAATATTTTCAAAAAATTTTTTAAAAAACTTTCATTGTTTTTAAAAACTTTTAAAAACAATAAAAATAAAAAAAAAAAAGAGGGGGTTTAAAACTAAAGTTTTTGTTTTTAAGAAAACTTTGTACTGTATTTGTATAAAATCTATTCTTTTTAAGAAAAGACTCCACCTTAAATGAAAATTTGACTCTTATTGATATTTGGTTGCATAATAAAGCGTTCTTGTGCAGAAAAAGATTCATCTTCAATTGCATAATCAGGAATATTTTTTAAATTCTAAGACTGTGAATTTTCTTTTGACGTCTTCTGCACCTAAAGTACAAGCTTTTTTATTTTCAGTTTGTCATGATTTATATAAATGAGTAAAGTACACCCTACACCCAACACTAAAAATGATCATAAAATAAAACGCCGTGGTTATAAAGGTTTTAAAAATAAATAAAGGTAGAACATGTCAATTAACTAATGGTAATTTATTACCTCTCTAAACTATTATTATTTTGTATTTTATTAACTAAATTGGTAAAAGATATTCTCAGAAATTAAAGAACTTTTTATTATCGCAACCTTTTTTTTAATTTACAATAAAGATCTCCAAGACGTTCTCACATCTGTGGTAGCATTGTTTGCTGATGATTCTACTATTTATTTTTGTCTTAATAAGAAGCCAACACTCTATGATTGCTCGGTGAAAGTATTTGAGATTAAAAGGATCTTATTTCTACTACAGCATGGAGCTCTCAGTGGCTGATGAACTTTAACTTTGATAAAATCATTTTTATTTAGTTAATTATTGTTGCAATAGTCCAGATTTTTCTATATTTATAAATGGTATATAATACAGTTGCCATATCTAAAGCTGATTTTTAAATGAAGCCCGTTCTCTTTTAGATAAGGAGCAAAAGGGCATTGTAAACATAGTTGGACCTGCTCTTCCAGCCAACCTTCAATCATTGTCACATTGTCGTTATATTTTCTCTCAATGTCTCTTCTATAAACTCTTTAACAGGCGCTGCTCTAAAGAGCTTGTGTCTCTTGTTTCATCCATAAAAATTTACTCCTGTGTAACTTTTCATTCAATTATGACTCATCTTTTAGATGTAACTGTTCCTATGTGTTCTAAAATATTTATTCTTTTAGTTTCTTTCCTAAAACATTAGTTCTTTGGATATTACTCCCTTTATCTTGTTTACTGATTGACATAGTTTGTCATCTTTTAAGTCATCTGTTAATTGTTATCCTTATATACTTCATATTTTCTCTTTAGTAACTCTAAGTTTTATTAGTGGTTGCTTGAGGCCTTGTTTAAAATGAAGATGTTTAAAAAAAAAACTCAAAACTAATTCTTTCAAAATTTTATTAACTTTAATTTCTCAATCTAGTTCTTTTTTCATTGAAGTGCTGAAAAAAAATTACGAAATCAATAGAAGCTAAACTTTGTTGCCCCTAATATGTAAACAACTCAATACCTGTACACATTATGGACACCAAAAGTTAAAATTAAATTTGTTTTTTTTTTTAAATTAAAATTACGATTTAAAAAACTATAATTTGGTTGCGTATGGTTTCAGCAACGTTGGCGCCCAATGCGATTGCATAATTCGCATTGCCCTTGGGCCGGCCCTGGTAAACTTGTAATTGTAACTTGGTTAAGTTCTTTAAACTGGCCTTCGTTTAGCATTTCTTTACTCAATCTATTATAAATTTGCTCTTTATGGATTTTTTTCCTCAATTTTTAATCCTATTTTCGATCAAGTTGACCAGTGCCCATCACACAGACTGATTTTAATACCACTAAAAGAAGTTAGACGCTCCTACTGGAACTAGGAAATAAAGCTAAAATAATTTAGTCTTTATCAAAGTTTAACTCAGATAAGTAACTTTCGTACTCATTTTCCAAATAATCTTTATCGCTTACCTTCCCTTCTTGATTTTTGTAAAGTCTCTGACATTAGCTTGTGCTCAGTTTCTCCATGATCTACTTTGAATGGTTCATATGCTATGTGCTGTATGCTAATTCTTAAATCATACAATATGCTAAATGTTATCATGCATTTTTTTTTTCAGCAGACACACGTTAGAATTACATTTCTTACTACTATATTTGTTTTTGGATTTTCTCATGGACTAATTTTTTTTGTCATAATATTTAACTTTATGTGCAGCTGCTATTTTTGATTGCAATCTTTTTTTTTTTATATAAGAACCAAGTTTCTTTAAAACAAACATGTTTGCGTAAATATATTATTTATGCTGAGGTTCATTATTCTTATATTACTAAATCTAAAGTGCTGTTTTTGAAAGTTAATTATTGGATACATTGGAAAAATTTCTAATACTTTTTCAATCTGATTTTCATGCCTCCTCTAAGGATAACACAAAACAATTTAAAAAGAACTTTTTTTAGAATTTGTCTCCTAAATCTAACAAACAAACACTATCTGTCATTCAGAAGAAAAAAATTAAATTTGTTGTTAGACTTTTAATTTACTTGTGCTAAAATTCGTAAAGCTATATCTTACATAAACTCATCTACAGCGTGCGGTCAGGACAAAACTTTTGTCATAGTCTTACAAATCTATTATCTAAATATCTTTTCAAACACTTTAAACAATTTTTTCAACTAAAGAACAAAAATTAAACTTGTAAGACATCACTGTTACTCTTTTCCAATAACTTTTAGAGTACGATAAAATTCCATTCTTGATCCTTTGTTTTTTCATATCTTTATTTATTATCTTTCTAAAAATCTTACTTTTATTAAATTGCAGAAAAACATCTTGTAAATTTATTTAAACCTATAAACTTAATTACACGACGTAAATGTATACACACACATTTATAAACTAAGAATTTAATAAATAATTAAGAACAAACTTTATTTACTTGCAAGTAAAATACAAATTTAAATGCCTTTAGCTTGTCATGTTACAGGTAAATTCATATATAATGTTTAAAATAAAAATTTAATTAGTAATTATTCTTACTTTGTTAATTATTTTTATTATGGTAATTATTTTTGATATATTTTATGTATAAGTTTTGTGGATTACAAAATAAATAAATTCAAACTTTGTATAAAAAGTTTTTATTTTGAGTTTGGCCAACTAAAAGATTTATTTCGTTACGTAAAAAAATGTACAACTAATTATTGGATTTTTTTTTCAAAGACAATATTTGGTGTACTACATCTCTGAATTACATTTTAACATATCTACTAGCCCGTGTAAATAATAAACTTTTACGCTAAACTGAGTCTTAAATCAAATCACTTAAACATTAATGGCATCTGTAATATACGTACGCAGTAAAACTACTAATTTAGAACTTCTATTTTCCCTTGTATACACCTGTACTTTACTTTCAAACACCCAACGACAAGGATTTCGAAGTGGTGGGGCACAACCGTCAATTCTTAAAAAAAGTATTCTGTATCTAGAAATTTATTATAAATAAAAGAAAAAAAAGGTCCTTTAGAAAAAAGGTTGGGCCCCCTGGCCCCAAGGTGTCGTCGGCCCAATCATTTCTCCCTGAGGCTTTTTAGCAGTGATGTTTTGTTCTAAAATTTCTAGTTCTGAATTTTCAAACAAATTACTGCCAGAAAAGTTATTAGGTTGTAAATAGTTTTTTTAAAGTTTTCAAGTCTTTATTTTTTCCTTGTGTTTTAATTTTTTAAACATTTGTAGGATTTTCATTAAGTGGTCATGATGATGATGATATTAGTGATGGTCACAAATTGACTCGTAAGAATAATTTTACTTTATGTACTTGTTTTGTAACATTTTATTCAAGTATTTTTTTTATTAATCATAATCAAGTTCTGGCGCGTCAGGTAGTTTTTTATTGTTTGTTTTGTTGTTATTAAGTATAAAACTCTCTTATCAGTTAGGGATAATGTCCTATATCTTTAAACTTGCTGGTAATATTTTTTTACTGTAATCTATATAAATAACTCTTTTTATTGTAAACACTTATATATTTTATTATAACTAAATGACTAATTTTTTTAAATATTGATTTTTTTAATTGGAACAAATCATTTTTTATGTAATTGGATCAAACTTTGCAGTTTTAACCAACTTAATATTAAACATCATAAAATTTAACCATGAGATATACATAACAATGACATATAATAATTATTGTGTTTCTGGCGATTGTTAGCGTTAAGAAAATCTCTTCTCAAACTATAACTACGATTTGTGAAAAGTGTTGGCTTTTGGTTAATTTGGCAACTATTTGATTTTAGTATGATTATTTAAACAAAACATAATTTATTTTTATTTCTTTTTTTATTTTTTTTTTAAGCTAAAAGTTAATATTACCAGCTAAGTAGTACGCAATCCACAATTTGAAGTTCTTATGAAACCTTTAAAAGCCATAATCTTTCATTATTCGCAACAAAAAGCATAAATAAAAACATCATGTACTTTAATTTTATAATGTTTCTGTTTCTGTTTTTAAGCATTCTTATTTATAATGTAACTTTTGGACATTTGGGTACATTTTTTATATTACATTTTTTGTATTAATCTTAATGAGTATTCGCATTTGAAGGCATGTTTATTTCGTTATTTATTATATTTTTTATTTACAGCTTTAACTGCAGCGACTAAAGGTATTTGAACATTGTTTTTTTTTTGTTGTTGTTATTTTTTGTTTTTATTTTGTTTGATATTTTTGATTATTGCAAACTTAACTAAATAATTGGATTTTTTTTTTTTTTACATAATTATGCTTAATAGTTACATATCTTGCTAACGAAATCCTAAATTTTTTAAAAATCTAGTTTTTAAACATTCTCTAATTTCGCTTTTTAAAATTTTAATAATAAAAAAATTAGTTGCGCTGGTTTAGTTATTTTATAAAGTCTCAAAAAGGATTCTGCGTTATAATCAAAGTAATATTGATTTGAAATTGCAAAATTGCACCAATATTGTAAGATTACAACAACGTGAATAATTTTTTTTTTTTTTTTTTTTTTTATTGCATCTGTTTGAGATATGCCTGTACTTTTGAAAACTCACTCCTCAAAAGTACATGTAAACGCAATAATATTTTAACTAATTTACACATTCAAAAATATTTGTAATTCATTTGTGAAGGATTTATCTTCATTTGATTCATTGTGAAACATTTGTCTTGACATTTTATTTGCGACTACTGGAAAATCCAGAAATATAGTTTTAATATTTTTTTTATTCAAACATTTTATTGTTTACAGATATGATTTCCTGCTGGTTTCTTAAAAGATTTTGCAAACTTTACTATGATGAAGAGCTTTGTTCTGTAGTTGAATACTCGTGCCCGACACTTAAAGCTCCAACATCAATGACAACTACTTTTTCATCAACCATAACTAAAACTACAGCAACCACAACTGATTCTACAACAACTTCAACTGACCCTACAACATCAACAACTGAGACGACAACAACCACAGTTGAAACCACAACAGCCACAACTGAGTCTACAACAACTACACCTGTGACAACAACAACACCTGAAACGACAACAACAATTCAAACGACAACAACAACTGAAGCACCATCTACAACTGAGACGACAACAACAACTGAAACGACAACAACTACTGAATTACCATTTACAATTGAGACGATAACAACAACTGAAACGACAATAACAACTGAAGCACCATTTACAACTGAGACGACAACAACAACTGAAACGACAACAACAACTGAAGCACCATCTACAGCTGAGACGACAACAACAACTGAAATGACAACAACAACTGAAGCACCATCTACAGCTGAGACGACAACAACAACTGAAATGACAACAACAACTGAAGCACCATCTACAGCTGAGACGACAACAACAACTTAAACGGCAACAATAACTGAAGCACTATCTACAGCTGAGACGACAGCAACAGTTTAAGCAACCATCAACTAAAGAAACTACAACAACTAAAGCAACAACATCAATTGAAAGAAAAAATAATAACTGAAGCTGTAATAACAACTGAAGCTACAACAGCAACAACTTAATCTACAACATTGACAGCTAAGACGATAACAACAACTTAAACGGCAACAATAACTGAAGCTACAACAACGACAACTGAATATAAGTTCGTTAAATATTCGTTAAATATTTTGTAAATTAATTGCTTTATATCTTTTAATTAGATCTGAATTCTATTTCAAGATTTTTTTTTTAATTTTTTTTTTTTTTTTGCGGTTGATTTGAAGATAGAGACTTCCCTGTGTTAAGTCCGACGGTGGGCCAACCTCGGGCCGAGCTTGCTACATCGGTTGAACATCGGCTACTCTGTTTTTAGCAAAACAACATCGGTTCAACGTCGGCTTTGTGTATGTTGGCGGATGAATAGGCAAACAGACATTCAGCCGACGTTCAGCCGATATACAGCCAACGATCAATTAATTTGGTTCTGTTTTTTATTTAAATGACGCATTATATAAAAAAACCGAATTATAAACTTTTATATTAAACTTAAAAAATTGCAGTAAACCTATCTATCACGAGCGGCTAGAGTAAAGTGACCAAAGTCGAGCCAGTGACCAAGTTCGAGCCACATTTTAAATTTATTATTTCTTGGTCTTGGTTTCTGCTTTATGTTTGTAAATGCGACTTTTTTGTGACTAGTATGAATTCAGCCAATAAAAAAAAGATTATTTTAGTTGGCGGATGTTTATAGAAGTAACATCATTGCAAATATTTATCTCAAAAAAGTACTACTTTAAACATAAAATATCATGTAAGCATCCAGTTTGAAGCTTATAAACAATAAATATTTATTACTTAACGAAATGTTAATTATTTTACACTATTAATATATTCCTTAAAAAGACAAGTTAAGTTTTATAATTATGCTGAGTTTTCTATAGATTGTATTTCTTAATTAATTGCACCTGGTAGAAAGACCAAAATCCGGTCAGGTATAAACCTTATTCCAGCGAAGGCCTAAATTAGGTTCACAAGTGTCTAAAAATAACTTATACTTATATGATATTTATATTATTAGATTTTATTTTTTTAATATAATTACTTTATGTTACATTTATGTCTTAAAAGCTATCAATCTTAAATATATGCACTTATTTAGTTAAATATTTTTATAATATTTTTATAATATGAGGATGATGAAGGTCGAAATAAATGAAAGATAATGTTTCACGTAAATTATTACTTACAAATGAAATTACATTAAAATATAATCTTTAATTGAAAATTCTAATAATTTAATATATAAAGTTATTTGGCTGATAATAAAAATAAAAGAATGTCATCCAACTCAAGGTAAATATGTGAAATATAAAGAGGAAGTGTTACTTGATGCTATAAACAGTGTTATTAGCTCACTTAAAATGTCTTTTAGAGCTGCTGCTAAATTTTAGTACCCGAGCAACTTTGCAGAGCAGGATAAATAGAAAAGTTGAGATTGGTGCAAAAGCAGAAAGAAAAAGTTTAATGCCGCTTGATCTTGAAATAAAGTTACTCGGTTTTGCAGACAACAGAGCTAGGATAGGCATTGGTTTTAAAAAAGAACAATTCTTGGTATATATTGGCAAGCTTACCAAAAAATATGGAAATTCTTTTAAGAATGGCAAACCATCTAATAAATGGTAACAACTACTTAACAATAGACACAACAAAAAAGTAACTCTTTGACAACCAGAATCAACAGCATCAGTTTGTCATCAATGCATGAATCCGATAAAGGTGGCAAATTATTTTATTGCACTTAAAGAAGTCATTAAAGACTGTCAGCCTGAAGTAATATGGAACATGGGTGAGACAGGACTGCAGTTAGACTTTAAGGCGCACAAAACTGTTGCTGCAAAAGGTACTAAATATTTACATATGAGAATAAGTGGAAATTGAGAAATGATTACTTTAATTGTTTGTGTGAAAGCAGCAGGAAAAACCTTACCACCTCATGTGACTCCAAAAAAGAAGACAGTAAAATCCCTTCCATGTTTTCAAGTTCTAGATGCCCCTGAAAGAAACCAAATGGAGTACTAGTGGATGGACTAAACAAGGAATTGCAAAACTGTGGTTTGAGCTTACATTTTTAAAAAATATTGGACTACAACATCAACAAATTTTAATTTTAGATGGCCACGATTTCCACAATTTCGTAGAATTAATGGAAATGGTCATACAAAACCAAATTAAAATTGTTGAATTACCTGCTCATACAAGCAATTGGCTTCAGCCTTGCAATCAAACTGTCTTTAAGCCATTCAAAGTTTCATATAACAAAGCAGCCCAGGATACGATGTGTAATCACCCTGGTGTTATAACAAAAAAAGGCTAATTTTAAAGGACTTTTAACAAAAGCCTGATGAAATATATTGAATCTGGCTTCAAATCATGTGGAATCTTCCCTTATAATTCTTCGATTATTGCGGCTGAAGCTTACTTGCCAAACTATGCGTGTTATGAAGATATGTTAGTGACTAATCTCTTTTATCAAATTAAAGCAATTGATAACACAACAACAGTTGTGCCGATTAATCAAACAACAGACAGCACAAAAGTACATTTACCAGATATTAAGTTGGAACAACATCTAATTACCAACCACTGCTATAAAAACGAACCAATAAAAGTATAAAAAAACAATGTGTAATTTGATCTGTTATAATGAGATTTTTTTCTTTGTGTTTAGAAAAGTCTAATAGAGTTTACAGAATTCTTTTTTCTTTTAATGTAAATATTATATTCTATGCAAATCTTTTAAAACAGTAGTTTAGATTATTACATTTACATTAATTATCCTGATTTACATAATAGATAAAATAATATAATATTAAACATAGTTTTGTGTTTGGTTTTTATTTGCATTAAAAAATATTTCCTTTTATTTGTTACCAACATGTATACGCTTTTTTTTCTTGCCCATGGACAAGGTGTTATCGTTATTTTTTCAAAGAATTTTCATTTATAATAATTGCTGTAATTATATCCTAAATGCTAAAGGATTTATCTTTCTAAAAATGTATAACTTTAACAATGTAATTTTATGTAGATTCAATAATAAAAATCTGAAAGACTGTCTTTGAGAATAAAGATCTTCAATGTAAAATGAGTCCCAATTATTTGTTCCTTTTGCAGTACTCTTCAACAAATAAAATATAATAGATTGAGAACACAAACTGTCAATTAAATATAAAAATAATTTAAAACATATAATGGGATTGCAGATAATAGCAAAAAAGTTTGTATTTAAACACAGTGTACTTAATTAAATGTCTTTAAAATAGTTATTTAACTTTATATGTATGTATTTATATATTTTTTTATTACTTAAATGATAGCTATCCGCAGTTGTTTCAAAGTAAGCTTCAAGATTTCTTGTTTGTTTGTTTTTTTTTTAAATAGTCACTTAAGTCACTTTTCAAATATACCTTAAGTAACTATAGATGATAACTATAGTTACTTAAGGAAACCACGGAGCATACAGTAATTGATCTTGCGAACCAAATTCTAAATGGTTTAGAAAACAATAGTTACACACTTGGAATATTTATAGATCTATCCAAAGCCTTTGATACTGTTAACCACAAGATTATTATCAACAAACTATGTAATTACGGAGTAGCTCACTCTAACTCAAAGTGGCTGCAATGTTATTTAGAAAGTAGTACCATTTAATTTAACATGCTTCCCATTTGAGTTAATAAGTTGTGGAGTTCCACAAGGATCAATACTTGAACCTTTACTGTTTTTAATTTATATTAATGATATTTTTTTGTCATCAAAAATACTTAATTATATTATTTTAGCTGACGACACTAATGTTTTCTATTCCGATTAAAATTTTAAAAACATTTTTTGTAATATTAACACTGAACTAACATATCTCAATGAGTGGTTTATAGCAAATAAACTTTCATTGAATATTGAAAAAACAAAATATATATTGTTTGCTAAACCATCTAAATCCGAGAATTTTCCACTTACACTACCAGAACTAACTATTAACAATATTAAAATAAGTGTTTTCAATGAAAATACTTGGAATAATTTTTGACGAAAATTTAAATTGGAAAAGCCAAATAAAGCTAGTCGAGAACAAAGTCTCAAAGACTTTAAGGATAATGTATAAGACTAAATCTCTTTTGAACAAGATATGTTTAAAAAAATTATATTTTTCGTTTATACATTGTCATATTAACTATTTTAATATTGCCTGGGCAAACAATCTTTCCTAAAAACTATTTACACAAACCAAAAGCAAGCAAGTTGATTAGTGGCATGGATAGATACGAAAGTGCCAAGCCGTTACTCAAGGAAATAAATGCCCTAAATGTATACAAATTAAACATCTACCATAACATGTTATTTATGTTTAAACTTCAAAACAAAATAACTCCAAAATATTTTTATAAAAACTTCTCTCTTATTAATCATAAATATAAAACAAGACACTCAATAAATAATTACTGCATCCCATTAACATCACTCAAAAAGTCTGACTTCTCAATTACATGTCGGGGACCACGCTTGTGGAGCTCGGTTCTTGACGAAAATATGAAAAAACTAAAATCTATTGATATATTTAAAAGAGATATAAAAAATCACTTACTAAATTTAAACATTACGTACATTCTTTCATTTTTTTAATTAAAAAACATTTATATATATATATATATATATATATATATATATATATATATATATATATATATATATATATATATATATATATATATGTATTTTGCATGTGTATGTATATATATGTATATGTGTGTGTGTATATATACTTGAGTAATGTAAAACTTCCTATTTATTTAAAGCAAAATACTAGTACTTAACTATAAACCAATTAAATTTTATAACACTAATGCTACCTCCTGTAACTCTAATAAATTATCTGAGCTGTCCACACTTGCTTTGGCATATGAAATTGATGTTATTGCAACTGCAGAAACTTGGTTTAAATTGGATTCGATTAAAATAATTGATGGCTATTAACTGTATCAGGCATAAAGAGTTGGAGGAGGTGTTGCTATTTATGGAAATAAAAGACTTAAATATATAGAAATTGTAAATGTGCATCTTAACAACAAGGAGACAAGTCTGTTGCTAAAATTGTAATTATTTTCATTTAATTGTTGGTTGTGTATATAGACCACCAAACTCTACAGCTGATTACTCAAAATTAATTCTAGACTCA